CAGATGGAGGAATAGCATTAGCAAATCGCTTTGCAAGAACATCTCGCTAAAAGATTTCAACCTTCAATGTAATAAATTGAGCCAAAAGGATTAAAAGCTTTAGGAGAGTCACTTTGCAAGAACACTACGCTAACTTCTTTGTATCTTTGATACAGTAAGCATAACAAATTGAAAAAATGAAAATTTGTGTTGAATCTAATTTAAATACTTTATATACTGTATGTCTATTATTAGTTGCATATAAAATTACATACATCGGTTTCAATCCGTATAAACTTTCAATTAAAAAAAAAATTTATTATGACATATCTGAACCTATAAACTAAATACTATTACGTATTCAATTAATGCTGTTAATGCAATAAAATTTTTGCAATACCAATTTTTTTTTATTTTTTTATATGAGTATTATTTAGTGCTGTAATCAGTTTTTTGACAAAATAAAAATTATGCGCGAGATTTTAGTTCGAACCAATACAAAGATCATGATTTGTAATGGTATTTTTACTAAAAATTTAAGCAATTAAAAATTTTTTTTATTACTCTAAAATATATAAGTTTATTATCGAAAGTTCGATTTGTGTGCAATATTTTCATTTAAAACCAAATATTAATAGAACAAGATCTGGATAATCTAATGTACTCAATAGTTCAAATTCAATTGCTGAATACTAATATCAAGTAATAATAGTTTGCAAGATCTCCCAAGTTTAGAAGTTCATATGATTGATTTCATTTTGTTTAATAGATTCTTAGTTTCTTCTGATACCTATATGATGGTATTCTTTTTTAAAAATAATATTATAATATAAGAAACGATTAATGTAAAAGCTATTGGGTAAATCTCTCGTGGTATGTCGAAATTATCATCACTTAACTTGCATGAGTGACATATCTTGCGCAAGATAATTTATATATTCTAAATATTTATAACTTCACCAAAATTTCGTAACATAATATATGAGTGCCGCCAATGGAAAACCTGTCATCGGGCCTTCAATTATATTTTGTACCGGACAAAGTCTATTTAATTTCTTAGGGAATATGTCCGGTACAAAATATAATTGAAAGCCCGATGACAAGTTTCCCTTGGCGGCACTCAAATGCGCCGTAATGATATGAATCTGCAATCTCATTCCAATATATTTGTCTTCTAAGTACATAGGAAGTATGATCTTTGTTTTTTTTTGCAAAGTAAACTTGATGCTATCTAAAGCTACAAAGATTTCTTTTTTAGTGAGAATATAAATAGTGCTTTAAACGCGTCGGATTCGGATCGTATTGAGTTGAAGATGGGACCCAATGACACAATTTTAAAAATTTCCTTTTTCATGGATGTTTTGATTTTTTATATTACACCTGATCTTGAAATATGATTGGCTAGGGAGATTTTTATGGTTGATCGCGATTTCGTGTAACGTAACACTATCAAAATTGGTTATTTCTCAAGAATTTTCCTTAATCTACAAAAACCCAAACCCTAAAGGAGACAAACTTAATGTCTTTTTGTCCGCACTTTACTGGGTACGCTGATGAAAATGGGTTATTCTGACACGTCACTTGACCAGCAAACATAATACTAGAGCTAACCATACTATAGCGAAATCAATAGCTGAGCAATTTTACTTATATAGGCTACCATTTTATTGGTGAAAATTTGGGTGAATTTAGAAAAAATTTATCAATTCCTGCCTATTCCGAACCACGGTACTGTTGAATTTTGGTTGCGTGACTAATCTACTCATTAAAAAATTTTCCTCAGTAATACTGCAAAAATTTTGCAGTTATATGGTACCGTAAATTGCCGTATACAAGTTCCGGTCGGGTCTGGTACATTCCATCAATTTTAAAACCTATAGTAGACCCTGGGCCTAGTATGCAGCCGGGAGTTTATATCATTAGAGAGAAAATTTTAAAGATCATGTTTATTTTGCACTTATAATAGGCAGTCTGGATATTTGAAAAAAAACATATTTTATTAATATAATTTTGTGATTTACTAATCCATGGTGAATCTACTATTTGGATGGATCTTGTATACGGCAATTTACGGTAATATCAAAATTCTAACTACCCCAAGAACACCTCCAAATTTTCTGCGCACCAATAAAATTTGAATCACATGTAATACTACTTCAAAACATGCAACAAAAAAATTAAGAATTTTAGACATATGCTGTCTGTTGTTTTTTATTTATTTTATTCTTTACAAAGAACTAGCAAAACCTATGCTATTGAACGTGTTTTAAATCATATTTTTCTTTTTACAATAATAACAGCAATTAATGTCGAGCTGATGCTGAAATTTAGGGACCCCATTTAAATCTATAACAACTATTAAAATTCACATACTGTATACTTTTTTTACTAACAACACTAACCCTAAACCCTAAAAAAAAACCCCCCTAACGAAAAGGCCAAAAAAAATTTAAAATCTCATAATAAAATAATCAGCCGCGACAATTAATAATGTCCTTTATATTGTAATGAAAATATATATTCACGAACTTTGCAAATAATAATAATGATATGAAAAGTTTGTATTAAACACTTTGTTTAATAATAAATGTTTTTATATATGTCTATTAAGTTAATGAATGCAGTAAGTTCTAGGCACAGTGAACCTTCTTATAACAAATCTACTTATAGCAAACTTTATAAGAACTTCCAGTTCGTTATAAAGAGAGACGACTTTATTCATTAACTTGAATAGCCTTTTTTTAAATATATACTTCAGTTTATTAAGCCTATTATCATATTTAATATCATGAACTTTGATTAATAAATATTTTTTATCCATATTTACACATTAAATAATATGAATTAAACGAAATTAATGAATTTTGCTTAACTTATTTAAATATTCTAGCACTGTAGGAACGAGTGTTCTTCATTAAAAATGAAACTTCATTAAGAAAATTGTTTTCTTTAACAATTAATGATGTATTTCTTGAATTTGTATTACACATGTATCACCTTAAACATTAAAAAAAAATTTGTATTACACATGATTGCAGTTTTTTATAAGTCTATATAGACTACAAGTTTAAATAAATATTAATAAAATTGAATTATTATAACTTATATCAGTGGTTATTATGTCTAATTACATAAAAAATTCGACTTTTAATTATTAACGCAAAAATGGTTCTTTTAATTTAAATGCATATATTGTCTATATGCATAAAAAGTTTCTGACGGATAGCATGCAATTAGACAGTACCAACTGTAATAACTATAATAATTTCTATCACAAATTTAGGGGTAGGATGTAATTTAGAATAAAATAAAGGTTTATAGAACATAATGTATATTGGATATAAGAATCAAATTTCAATTCTTATAAGATTTTTGGGTCCTAAACATTTTTACTTAGAGTTCCCGATCATATTTACTTAGCAATTGGTACATTTCGAGATATACAGTAGCACCGAGGTTATCAATAACCACTAGCGTAAGTTAAAAATATCCTTTATATTATATTAATAATATTTATTTTATAAAATTATTTTATTTTTTATTAAAATTTTTTTTTAATTTAAAAAATTGTCAAGTTATTTTTAACTAAACTTTAAGCATGTCTGTTGCCTATCAACCAAATTTGATAAAATTTTATATTAATTCTAAAAAATTAATAAAAATTTGAATAAAAAAAAATAATAATCTAAAAATATATATAATTACGTATTATCAAAAAGTGTAAAAATTACGATTCGTGTTTAGCATGCATTCCGTTTAGAAATGGTACGTACATAACGCCCAAAAAGTTGGACAACTACATATTTTATAGCACTTATGATAATACCCCTCTTTCATTTTGCCAAAAGAAAAATTTATTATACTCATGGTAGTAATGATTGCCAAGAAGTAAGAATTAAGGATTTTTTGCGACATGGTGTTATTTATACATTACGTAATGCTCAGCAACTTAAAAAGGGTTGTTCTATTTATTGTCTAAATATAGAAAAACATAAGACCATTTCAAAAACGATTTACCGAGTACCGTAAATAACCTATCAATGTCTCACATGCTTGATAATCCATGGACCTCGCATCAAACCGAGTAATGTAATGAATTCAATCTTTTGAGAAGTGAATAGAAATATCTAAAATAATTTAGTTACGTGTCTAGGGATAATAAACATATAGTATGATAATTACAAACTCAAAGGTTTGATTAGCCGAATAAAAAAAAAATATATCCCCTTATAGTTTCGCATGGCTAAATAATTTTGTTATGGTTAAATTGTGTTTATAAACAAATCGTGCATCTCTGTGTGGTTCCTTACACAGAATAATTCCATGCACCTGAAAGATAACACATTAATTAGCTGCATTTACGAGCTTTAAAGAAGTGTTTAAGGTATCCATATATTGAAACTGCATGTCGATAGTTAGGCTGCCTGAGTTCAGTGAAACTAAGATACTTACTTTGTTAAAGTTTGCAAGATTGATAACTTGTCTTACGGATAAATAAGGTGAAATCATAAACGCATTTGCTTCCAGTATAGAAGTACAAACAAGTAGGACAGGTTTTATTTGTGTTAAAATGACTAAAATAAATACTCGTGGTGCATCTTTTTGAAATTGAAAGTATTGGTTTTTCTTTTTTTGATTACACGCCACCTTTTCAGTCATTATTCACATGAAGGTTTAATAACGCCCAAAAATATATCTTTTCAATACGTAATAATTGTAAACGAGTGTTTTAGTCCCAGGAAAGGCATACACGACACAGGTATGTACGTACGTACGTACGTATATTACGTATCTAAATAAAAATCTAATATATATCGTATATATGTTATATATACGTATAATGAACTTTCTATGTGATAAATTTGAATTAATATTTAAAAAAATTAAAAATTTTTTATCATTAAAAATCAAATTATTTTACAATCTTAACACTAATAACAGAATATTAATATAATTCATTCATCAGCGTTGACGGTAATATATCACCTTTACCAGTTCCTGCGGTGGCGTACGATACTCGTATGGATCCTATCACCAAACCTCGTTCAAAAAGTTCAAAAAGATTATCGGGCGTTATTAAGCCTCCTAAAATCCTAAATCCTAACCTTTATAAAGCATCCAAAGCTTTAGAGGCTGGTCATTACCAAGAAGCAAAGGATTGCTTAACTCGATTAATTAAATCTTATCCAAATAGTTATTCACTTCGATGTGATAGGGGTCTTGCACTTAAAGAACTTGGAAATTTAACCGAAGCATTACAAGATTTTGATCATGCCATTAAAAAAAATCCAGCAAAGTCTCGTGGACTATTACTTCGAGGTGAAACATTTTATTATAAAAAAGAATATGAATCTGCAAAAAAAGACTTAGTTAAAGGGTTCTCATCGTTAAAAGCGGATGAGAATGTATCGGAACAACTTTTTCTTAATGCTACTAGAATTTATGGTGAGATTATGGTATTAGAAGAAAATTATCTTGATGCTTTAGATTTTTTTAATAAGGCATTGAAATCTTCACCATCTGATTCGACGACTTTACAAGCTCGTGGTCTAGTAAATATTAAGCTCCAAAGATATTTAGACGCACTTAATGATTTTAATACATTTTTAAACATTGAACCAACCAATCCGGATGCACTGAGTTCAAGGGGCTCCTTGTTCAAAAAACTTGGAAGGTATGACGAGGCACTAGAGGATTATACCAAAGCAATGAAAATATCAAACCGAAAAGATCTTCAACTTCTCTTAAACAGAGGAAAGGTTTATTTAGCCCAAACCCGATATGAAGAAGCATTGAACGATTTTAATGAACTTTTAAATTTAAGGTACCCATATTAGAAAATCGATAATAAATTGTCCCCAAAACTTACCGTATGCCACTGACTTACAGTATCCCCCCAAAATAATACCCCCATGATTAAGACCCGGGTATTATTCACCATCATTACCAACCTGTTTCTTGAATAAGACCCGGATATAACTATAAAGATTTACTACTTTTAATGTGTTATATCCCCCAGATATAGTACCCGGTTCTTCACACAGTACCCATGGGTACTATTCAATTTTAAAAATGGAATTCTTGAATAAGACCCGGGTACTGTAAGCAGTGGCATACGGTAAATTTGGGGACAAAAAATTAGTTAAATTTGACAAACGCGCCGTAATGTGACATTTTGAATCCCGAAAATTACAACCTTGGTTTTTAGAAACACAAATGATTCAGAAATGTCTATCTAAAATTGCGAGTTTGAATTGTCACTGTGTTAAGTTATTGAGCTTATGATAGCCGCAATTATTATGTAAAGGAACTCTATAAGAATAATGAATGTGTTAGGCCCTGCGCTTTCGCACACGGGAAGATTAGCGTCCGAACTGTGAATGACTCGCCTCTAGTACGTGCACATATTACTATGGAGCTCTTCATTAGGAGTCCGTAACCTGGGCACGTACTTGTGCCCAACAGAAAGTCCAGGCAGGGAATGGGCATGAAAGCTCAAACACGAGAATGGGCACAGGTACAAAGCTTTGGCATGATCAGAATGTCATCATTCTTTTTCGATTGATGTAGGTATCAATGGTGATGAAATGACTGTCGGAGATTATTGAATGGAAAATTAATTTCCCTAACAAAATAAAGGCAAACGACCTTACTTTATGGGAAGTAAGTCTCCCTTTTGACGAAAATGTAACGGAAAATAGCGGTGACATTAGAAAATAATGAAGAAATGGGTGTTCAAAGATTGACACCCTTAAAAAAAAATCAGATCCGTTTTTTCCGGAGAAATCCCTAAGAAACAATTCATATAATAGTCGGGTTGCCGAGTACTATCGGCAAGAAAGTTATAAAAGAAAGAGCATAATGAAATATAACATAATATTTTTGTATTTTTGGCTTATACCTTGATCCTAGAGAAGACGAAGTTGAAAGATTGAAGGTTTTGTTGTCTAATTCCGAAGCAGGAATTTTCATCTGTATATAGATATGTTAAAATAATTGTATTGTTTCTTTATGGGAGTGGAAAAAGAAAAATGAACTAAATCCATTAAACGTGTTGGTGCTTTAATGTTTAATAAATATTCATATGCACCTATAAAGGGATCAAATGAAATAAAAAAGTACCAACCGTTTTGTAAAAATTTAATAGAAGAAACAAACAATGCTATTTTAAAAATTCGTGATGACCTAATTGTACTAAAGAAAGATCCAAAGATCAAATTTATGCTGATCTATTAATTGGTCACCGCAAATTTTATCAGCAACTGTCCAATAATCGACAAAAGGTCTAGGCTGGGAAGTTAAGAATGGCCTGACTGATGGCTCAAATAATGGAAGGACGGACTGTTGGTAAAATATAGCAAGTTATATCTTTCGCCGGACAAACCTTTGCTATTGTCACGGAGTAAAAGTGACATCATAGACAAACTGGTTCGTAACTTACTCCGAAGGTTGTGACAAAGATATGCTACTATAAAATAAGGTAAGTTATGTTTAAGCTTCATTAGTCCTTTAAAGTTATATAAAGGACGTAACTTAGTTAAGGTTGGTTACGACAATTATATGCGAGGTAGGGGCACATAAGCTCACTAACTTGATAATAATTCCTTTTTTATTATATTTATTATATGACCTAAGTCACGCCTCTGGCGAGTTGCCTTATAGCATAAAGGCCTATATTTTAGAATATAGATTATTGAACGTACGATTCACTATATTTTATGGATGCTTAATAGACGAGAAACTATCAATTTATAAAGTATCATAGACAATGTCAAATACCAGATAAAGTTTGAAGAAAGTGAACTATTTATGTGGAGTGTTAAGACAGCTTCCCTTCTTGCCGGTTTAATTATCCAATATCATAGAGAACTTCAAACTCAACAGAAATCAAGCAGAATCTCATATAAAAGTATGGATTAAAGAATTTGTGGATGATAATGAGAAGTTAAGAAATTATGAATTTGAAAGAAGAAGTATAGATATTAAGAACAGCAAACATTGAGAATTCTCACATTTGATTAGACAAAATAAGCATTTGACATTTCTGATTTGAACTATATTCAAAGACCAAATACGATACATAGGATTCTCGACCATTCAGAATAAGCTCTCACTTTAGCTCTCCTGCTGAAGCTAGACGATTTTTTCAATTAAATAATGGATGAAATATGAAAACAAATCTGTATACAATCAAAGAAGCAATACTTCTACAAGAAATATCTTCTCTTCATGAAATATTAATGAATCATAAAGATGTTTTCATGGAAAATGGAAACTCAGTACTTCAATATTATAAATTGTCTGCCTCAAGCAATAGTTGGTACATGTGGTAGAAAATATACAATCGATGCTGTGTGGGAAAAAACCCCGTCCATTGAAGCTAATAATAATGTGCTTGACGGATCTACATCGATTAACGAATTACAGTCTATACAACCCCTTTCAAGCTGTTCTCCGAAATCTCCAAACCATTTATTTACTCCAAAGATACATCAAATAGCCTTTTAAATCAAAATTAGAGATCTCCATGTAGGCAAGGAATGGAATGGATAGATGGAAGGTATGCTATCTGTTTTAAATAATAATCTCAAAGCAAAATGAACGTCCAATCTATTATGCACTTCCAGACCTACCATCAAATACAAGTATGTGAAAAAATAATGGGACTCAACATAAAACGAACAAAAAATGCAATAATGAAATTTTTTATCGTAACATGAAAGAATGATAAAAGCTATCAATTTCAAAAATACTTTGTAGTATAAGAAAAGAAACAATATTTACAGAATACAGAAGTGGTACATATTACATTTATGATACAAAGTTGTAAGATATAGTTTATTAACGTTATATGTTGGGTGAAGAAAGAAACATTCATATTTCTCATGTACGCATAAAATTCAAAAAGTAAGCTTTGGTAAGTTCTTCGCAATAACCTATTATATAAATTTTAAATTTATCAAAACCTTAGTAAGCTATAAATGATAAATGCTAAAAAAATACCGTTGATAAATTGTTTAGTCTTTATTATTATTCTTTCTTTTCAGCTGGTTTGTCCCATCTGCGATGATGAAAGCGAGAACGTCCACGTTTTTGTTTCCGTAAGGTTCCGTTTCCTCGTAAGTACCGATTTTTATTTGATTTGGATCTTTCACGTCTGCAATGTGTTTTTGGTGCTGGTGAATTTGAAACTTCGAACTTTATTTTCCCTACTTTTTCATCACTAAATGTAATGTCTGGTTCTGGTGTTTCAACTTGATTTGAATCTAGGGATGATATTGTGTCACTTGCTATATATTTGTAAATGAAATTATTAAATTAGTCAAGTATGTGAAATAAAAATTCCAAATTCTTACCATAATCATTAATCAAGTTGGTAATTGATGCAAGCCCACCGTAATTTGAGACTTCGATTTTTTCCATTTACCAAAAATTTTTGTGCATTCTCTTCCACTTTAATGTATCCTTCTATGAAATGTTCTTGTAAATCATTAACCTTCAAGGTAGGTGATTTTTTATTATTTCTTTTTAAATTAGAAGCGTGTTCGACAGGTGAGGGATCAATTTCATTACTAGATTCTTCAGAATGTAAATTCCTATCTTCAATAATTTCTCGCTTCACCTGAACGGATTTGCACACATTTATTAGATTCATACACATTATACCACTCATGAAAATAGCCTCGCATGTTATTTATAATATCGATCTTTGTTACCTTGACTTCTGGCAACACAGCACCTGACGTTAAGATTATTGATGAAGCAGGACGATAATGTAAGTGAAGAACTGCGATCGGAGAATTGGATCTTGGTCTAATATATTTACATGACGTTAGGTTTATTTACTATAGAAATTGTTAGATATTAAAAAAGATATTTGCAAATTAATACCTAAGAAAATTAACGTTAGGCATCATATTATCAGGAACCCACATAGGTTGAAAACTGGTAGAAAGTCCAATTGACGCCATTGTCCTTCTCTCGGGTAAAATCTTTTGATGTAATTGGAAGTTTGGAATTTCTCCAACAAGCTCAAAAATTGGGGTCGCTCGATAAAAATAGACTGAGATGGCACCGATTCCACCGTATGATATCGTTTGAGAAAGATCACTATAGACTTTATGGAATTCATCGGACCACATCGTTTTGTCAAACTTGAAGTAATACCGGAAATCTCTGTAAGCACTCACGAAGTGATCTCTCAAATAGGCACCAGAATTGTAAAGCTCGATATATCGATAATCTAATTGACCATCTACAACTATGAAAGCCATTATAGGGTCATGTGGTGTTGCTTTAGTCGAGGAGAATCTAATAGAGAACTGCACCCCAGCGTGTGGAACTTCTGCCCAGACAAAGGAGTCACTAAATATGCAAAATAAATAAAAGTATATGATAAATATGGGGCTTAAGAAGTTCGAAAAATGTTAACATATTTGCCTTATTTTCCATTTTTTATTTCTTTCTTCAAAAACGAACGAAGGTCCAGTAGTTGTCTATTTACAAAGGAAACGACATGTTTACTTTGCGCAAAGAACCGTTAAAAAAGGCGACAATATAAAACTATAAGTATTTGAAACATACAGGTACATCCAAGGTTGTAATAGGTTGAACTATCTCAGGAAGAGGGCGTCCTTTTACAAGAATTTCAAGACCGAATCCGTCTAAAATCATAATGAAAGTTGAAATAATATTGAAAAATGGAGTTAAAGTGATATTTATATATAGAATGATAAATATGAAACGTTATCATGATATGTCTCGTTAAAAAATAACCTTTAACACGTATACATATTAATGGATATTGACTTTAAATATCATAATAGTGTCATCTCTTCTATTCGGCAAGTTCTTATGTAATATACTTCTTGAACTTTGGCAAATGTGATTACATTATAATTACGTGTAAAGAATTTTTCTATTAGACTGATTATAATATATATATTCGCGTTTTCATCTATACAGCCATTCTGATCATAACTTATAATATCAAACTCTCACTTTCAAAGAATTAGCCCTGATACCGTATACTCGCGAAATAATGTTCAGAATGATTGCCGCCATGTCATCTTACCGGACTCAATTTAGACGCCAAAATATAATTGAAAGCCCGATGACAGATTTCCCTGGGCGGCACTCAAACGTAATTTCAAAGTACATCCTGAAATAAATTAATTCCAGCCATTATTCGAAATAACGCACATATCCATTATCTTGAGTATACAGTACCTTTTTCAAAGACCTGGATTACATTCTCTAATGGAAAGATTAGGCTATGAATTGGTCTAAAATAGACAAGCCACCGAAAAATACAAATTTTTGGGTGCATCTTTTATGGTTGGAGTTGGGTCTGGGTAATAAACAAGTGTAAGTGGGTTTTGGGGTCAATTTTAATCAGATTTCATTATGATCCACGACATTTAAAAAGATAATTTTTAACAGAAGCTAGCAAGATATATTTAATTTGGTTTTATTCACAAAATGACGATAAATGATATCAGTTGAATTAAACGATTAACACGGCTAAACGACTTGAAAAATTTTTAAGCGGTTCTACTTCCTAATAACTTGCGATCAAACTTATTTACATAAAATGATACGTTTTCCAACTTCCTTAATATACCTGATATTTTCTTATTCACGTTTTTTAATGCTTTAGTAGATTAAAATAATTTAGAATCGTGAAACATAACTATGAATCTGTTTTAGAGATATTCCTTCCACAATATGAATAATAAACTTATCGCGTAAATTGGCTTCATACCTCGCACGAAACGACTTTTTTAATTAAAAAATTTATTTAAGATCATCTCGCCCTTTGCACAATATGATATGGTATTATAATCCGAATTGAATATCTATCGCTATCACAACAACACATATTACAAATATATGCCATAACTCAAGTATATATCATAAACTAAAATTAACTATTTAATCCGCCATATTAAATAGAAGTTTTGATTATAAAAATAGGGAAATAAATCGCCTTATATTTTGAGATAACTTTATTGGATTACACGTACGTACGTAATATTTTTTATCTTCATTTAAACATGGATATTTTTTTCGTTTAGGCTAGCCCATGTTCATATTCGTCTATGTCCAATCAAAAATTTTATTTGGACATAGTCTGAATGCCAACACTGCTTTTATATGCTCACTAATCGTCTAAATGAAAAATCCGAATTTGAATTTTAACCTAATGCTGTAATGGGAAATTTAGAATTAATAACTTTTACAATGATAGACTGTATGAGATATTGAAGATAAATCACCGCTTTATTGACATCGATTCAAATGAACCTAAAGTGACTATACAAGTAAGATGAAAATGAGAAATCTTAAACACATTTATGAGTTCTTGGTGGTTTTTTTTTAATTCCATAGCAAAATCGCTATGAAGACGAAGTTCGAGCACTTGGTTTAATTAAAGAATATTATCATAGTTTTTTAATTTGTTAAAAAAAACTTTTTAATTAAGGTATCTGATGATTATAAACCTGCTATAATTCGAGCAAATCATCCAATCCCTTCACAATGTGGGATATTTTACTTTGAAACTAAAATTATAAACGAAGAAAAAATGGGCAGTTTTTAATTTCGTGTTATCAACATTACCTTTGCTCTGCAATCTTCCTTTAGTTCAATTTCTTGATAGAGTGATTGGAGTCGAATATTGTACAAAGCAAGCCGATAAAAAAAAAAACTCAGCCTATATAAAATGATATGCTCCAACAAATTTTTACTATATTTCTTTTATTACTACAGATTAATTCCTATAAATATTCCTTAGGACAGGAATACAAAATATGGAAAATAAATCAAGGGGTGTGGGTTACCATGGCAACGATGGATATTCTTTTTGTTCTGGAAGCTGTGAGCCATATAGACACCCAAATATCACTGGTAATACAATTGAATGTCATATTTTTAAATTTTAAAATAAATGGTGTTTTATTACTAAAAATGGTGTAAACCTAGGTAAATCCATCACTTATTTTTTTAATTAATCAATTAATTTGATTTGATATTTGCTATATTTCAAGGAATTGCACCAATTATTTAAAAAACAAATTTACATCCTGCATTGGAAAAATCACAAAATGCATCTATAGAACCAATTTTGGTCATAAGAAGTTTGTAAATTTATTTACATTTAAAATTTTTATTATTATTTTTTGCGCATATTCATAATTTTTAATAAATACACGTATTCTTTATGAATAGCAATGATCTCAGTAGAGTTATCACTATGGAAATAAACTGGATAAATTTTAAATTAAGCCATCGAGAAAAATATTTCTTTATGAACGTATACGATAAAATGCTTGAATATTTTAACTAAATTGCTGAAGAATAAACCAGATAATTTAATGCACTAAAATATCGAGGAGAAATTTATTATCATATCGGCGGATTTTCGGAATTGGGTTCACATGGGTCTGTAAACGAACCCTAAATTTTAGTGATTATTAAAAAATATACGATGTAAATTTTTATTGCGTGTATGTACAGTCACACCCCTCTAAGTGCATCCTGTCGGGACCATAGTGAAAAAAATTAAAATTTTGCACTTAGAGAGTGTT